ATACAGAAAGAGACTGGGGTCAGTAGATCTACTCCAAGAGGTGACTGCACAAGAAATGTCCTACCCACAGCCTGGATATTTAGCTAACTAAGCTCTTACTTAAGTCAACAGAGAAACAATGGATATAGTATACGAGAAATACAAAATGGCTCATCTGACCCATCAGTCTGGCTTGGTGACAAACAGTGATGCCTACAGCCTCCAGTTCATGAGAGAGGAGACGACAGCTGCTCGTGCCACCAGGCCTTAAACCAGCACTGACAAGTTCATACCAGGATGCTCCTCTGTCCATCCCATATACCCAAATTATTTTTTTTTTTCTAAGGCTGTTACCACAGTAATTATTGCCTGATAAGATAGTACAGAGGTCATTACACTGGTGCTGTTGGCCTTGCAAGATGCTTTAGGATATGTGTTAGTGTTTGGGTTCAGGTTTGATTTAAAATTGAGTTAGAGTTAGGGTTAGGGTTGGGATCAGAGTTATGATTCCAGCTGGTTTAGGGTTAAACTTCAGGTTTGAGCTGGTGTTTGTTTAGGCTTAGGTAAAGGTTCAGATTAGAATTAAGGTTAGAATTGAGGTTTATGATTAGGATTGGTGTAGGACTAGGGCCGGGTAATGGTTAGGGTAAGGATTAAGAAAAAATATTAGTTTAGGGTTGGGGTAGGAGGTCTTTGTCTTTCCAAATTACAATGAGCTTCTCCCCTTCCTCCTTCTGTCCCTCAGCTTTTATTGCTGCGTATGCAATCATACGATATGGAATATCCCTTTGGTCAGTTCGGGTAAGCTGTCCCAGCTCTGTCCCCTCCCAACTTTTGTGCACCCCCAGTCTACTCGCTGGCGGAGCAGTATGAGAAGCAGAAAAGGTCTTGATGCTGTGCAGACCCTGTTCAGCCATAGCTAAAACGTCCCTGTATTATTAACACTGCTTTGGTAACAAATCTGAAGCGTGGTACTACATGGCTGCTGTGAAGAAAAATAGCTCCACCCCAGCCAGACCAGAATGCCAAATCTCCACTTTTATGTTCTTTCTGGTAGCAGTTCTGTCTCATTCCCTGCCTGTTAGAGTCCAACCATCTGTAGTACAAATATAAACACCAAATAAACTCCTCTGGCAGCCCTTCACAAGTACTTAGACCTCAAAGAACACATGTCTGAGATGTTCTTCCTCAACTGCCATTTTTAGGATCCATGAACGGTGAATGGATAAACCTGGCCACCCTCTGAGGATGAGATTGAAAGTCTTGAGAACCTCTTAGCTTTCCAGGTAGTGGTTAACCAGTGACGGGCAGCCAGTAGGGATGTGAGAGAGGGTAGAGGGAATTCTGGGAGAAACAAGGTGATGGTTGAGGTCTTTAGCAAATCCATACAACCGTGTCTGAAACACGGCTGAAGGCCCATGCATGAATCAGGATACAAGAAAATTTGGGACAAAGGAATCTGAGATGGCTGGGGATCGTTAGCAGGGCTGTGGAAGAAGGCAAACGAGTTGCGGGGAACTCACAGCCATTACCAAATCCCCAGGAAGACACAGCTTTGTGGTTAAAGCATCAGCATCTTTTACCATGTTCCTCTCCCTTCACACTGACTCCAGGAAGGTCCTGGAACAGTGTGGGGGGCAAAGAATATCCTTTACAGGCCCTTGAGTGAGGACTTCATCATTCTGGCGCTAAAAATAGTCAAGGACTTGCATGACATCAAAGCCACCTGTACGTTGCCCTTGCCACCTGAAACCAGCGTCTCCAACTTTTGCTTAACCAGTTCCCAGGGACGGGAACCTCACCTGGTCATTGTCATTTCGTCAGTGATGGCTCTCAGTGGGGTCCCCAATGCCCTCAGAGACTTGGGCTTTGTTTCTGCCTTTCACTTCTTTACAGGCTCTTTCATGCTTTCAGTATCCGCAGTGTGGGAACTTGGCACCAGAGAGCTCATCAACATGCAAAAGGCCCTAACAAACCAAGTCTCTGTGCATAATTTTCCTGAAGTCTTCAAGATTTGTGCAGCTAATTAGATTTCAGCAGCGTAGCCAAACATCAAAGATGATCTCGGCAATAAATAACAGCAAATCCTCATTTCAAAATGTGAGAGAGGGTAGAGGGAACTCAGGGAGAAACAAGGTGATGGTTGAGGTCTTTAGCAAATCCGTAAAACCATGCCTGAAACATGGCTGAAGGCCCATGCATGAATCAGGATACAAGAAAATTTGGGACAAAGGAATCTGAGATGGCTGGGGATCGTTAGCAGGGCTGTGGAAGAAGGCAAACGAGTTGCGGGGAACTCACAGCCATTACCAAATCCCCAGGAAGACACAGCTTTGTGGTTAAAGCATCAGCATCTTTTACCATGTTCCTCTCCCTTCACACTGACTCCAGGAAGGTCCTGGAACAGTGTGGGGGGCAAAGAATATCATTCATTGATATTCTTTGATATCTTTGATATCTTTGATATCTTTGATATCTTTTGATATTCATTGAGATACCTAGGAATGGACAGGTACAGATACAATTAAGGTCTTGGCTAAAGAGACCATCCGACAGACTACTGACAGACACAGCAAGCTTTAAACTCCCTGAAGCCTGGAGCAGCACCTGGGTGGCTGAGAGTGTTGTGAACGATTAGAGAGTGATGGGAGGAGAAAAACCGGATGGACGCTGGAAAAAGCATACATCCAGACAGTCTGCTGAAAAGATGCCTTCAGAAGCGATCAGTTTAAGCAGAGCATGTGGAAACATGTGACAGAGTGCTGAGAGCCAATACACAGTACAGAAGGCAGAGCAGTGTCATGGATGGAATGGGGAAGACCAATGTTTCTTCTCCGGAGCGTAGCAAATGGGCTGGAAATTTCCACGTTGGTCTTATGGGAAAATATTTTCTGTGGATGAACAGTGTTCAATGCATTTCAGCTAATAAAAAATGTGCTAATATTTTCATTAAAAGTCAAGAACAGTTCTTCAGCTTTGTCAGCAGGGCACAGCTGTGCTCGTACATTCGGGCCCAGAACGTGCTAACCATGTGTGGAATTATTACTAAAATTAACGTTTTACATCTGAAAATTAAAGTTTATATGAAAAACGTAGCAGTGTTCACCCATTGAGCAAAAGCATGAAATCAAAAGGAGCTCTAAGGATGGGACACAGCTGCAGCAGGCATGCGAGGAATCCACTCACACAGCAACTCCCTGCAATGTAGCGTAGAGGATGGAGCGGGGTGGAGACTCCGTGGCCCTGCTCCGTGATGATAAAGCGGGAAGAGATGGTCCTGTAGAACTGATCAGCAGCTCATCTGGCCCCCTGAGCCAACATGTTTTCGAAACCTTGCCAAAGTGCTACCCTCTCGTGAACTTTGCTCGTTTTAATGTCATTTTAATACTAAAACACACCTCCAACCTGAAGGCTACCTACGTCCGATTTGTGAGAAGAGGATATCACCGTGAGCAAGTCAAGGGAAACTCCACCTCAGACTGCCTCCAACAACCGGGATCGGCTGACGGGTTTTATACTTAATAACATCATATTTGCACGTGCTTTCTTGCAGACAGTCACTATCACCGGAAATTCAAAAAACCTCTATGCCTGTTTCACAAATAAAACTGCACTGTTTCAGTCTCCAGTTGTCACAGTTTCTCACTGAATGCGACCAAACGTGGCCGTGCCAGTTCATGAGCGCGACTGGACTGAAGGTGCAGACTGCTATTAGTGTATCCAGAATCGTGGTAGTTTAATATACATATTAAACGCGACTGGACTGGTAGTGGCAAATTGGACATCACTCAGAATTTAAACCTAGCTGCACCTAGCCTTCCACTCCAGTGAAGAGAGTTAGAGCGCAAGGGGGTTTATTTTCTGCCAAATTAACGCAACACAGGAACCTCAGGAACTTCAGCCGAGGTGAGAGTTGAGTGCTGCCCTCATGATGGAGCAAGCCCAAGAGTGCCATGCAAAGGGTCAGCTGGCACTGACTGGTGAGAGAACAGCTTTGCAGGACACTGCCTTTGGCTTTTGATGAGGAAGCTGCAGAAGAGTCAGCAGTGTGCTCTGGTGCAAAGGCCATCAGCCTACTGATGAACCCATAGGCACCCATACCTCAGATGGCTGAAGGAGTTGAGATTTATTGGGAATCAGGTCTCAAACCCCACTCCTGCCTTGGGCTGTGGAGGAGGACTACATAGCTTTTTTTCTTCAGTGGGGAATAAAGTCTGGGTGGGAAAGCCTGATCTTCCAAGAGTGAAGGAAGTGGGATGGAGGCTGGTTGTCCCCATCTCCCCACCAGAAGACAAAGGGCAAGGACTGAGGCTGCAGCTAGAGCCAGAGGAACACAGCAAAAGCAAGAGCTTGCTGATTCCTTGGGGGAAAGGGGTAGCAGGAGTTTGAGGGAAGAACCAGAAGCTGCTTGGAGTCACTTGTTTTGGGCCATTGAAGAAAGCACCTCCACCAACCAAGCCTCTCCACCTCCTTGCACAGCAGGAGAAATCACAGCTGCTTTGCAGCCTGTCTATCTGTGCCCTGAGGCCATGCCTGACCAGAGGAGCGAGGAGAGGTGGGTAGCAGTAATGAGGCCTCAAGGCTAGAAAAGCACATTTTTTCTGGAAACGCAGCGAACACGTCCTTTTCTAAAAGCTGTATACTGGCTTCTAGCCTGGCAATGGGCACCACTGAGGAGCACGGCTCCCACCTCAGGGACCCACAGTGAGGAAGATCACCATGGTAGATACTGACTCACCATCTCACATTCCTTCCTCATCTTCTTCAGGAAAGAAAACTATAACCTTTCAGGAACTGACAGGTGTAAACCAGCAAGCTCTTTATTAGGAAAGACAGTCCAAACTCGTGGGCTTTTTTCACATTGCTTTAGAAATAAGAATATTTCTCTTCAAAGAACTTTCCCCTTTATCCCTGTGCCAATCCACAGGCAGTCTCAAGGCCATGAACTTCTGAAGATGTCCCTGGTACACAGCGGCTGCCTTTGTGAAAGAGCTGGCAGTGATCTGCGCAGGGTCCCTCACCTAGTGTGATCCTTGGGCGCAGGCAATGACTTTCCTGATGGCTTTCTTCAGGGCCTCCCTGACCTCCCTGCTCCTCAGGCTGTAGATGAGGGGATTGACCAAGGGTGTGAGGACGGTGTAGAAGAAGGAGAGCACTTTGTTCAGCTGCCTCAGCGCGGCTGTTCTGGGCAGCACATAGACAGTAAAGAGAGTGCCATAGAAAAGAGTGACAACAGTGAGGTGAGAGGAGCAGGTGGAGAAGGCCTTCTGCTTGCCCACGCTGGATGGGATCCTTAGGATGGCAGCTGTAATGCACACGTAGGAGGCCAGAGTGAACAGGAAGGGGAAGATAATGGTTAGGAAAGACAGGATGAAAGATGCGAGAGTGACCATGCTGGTGTCACTGCAGGAAAGCTCCAGCAGAGGAGTTAAATCACAGAAGAAGTGGTCAATTGCCTTAGGGCCGCAAAACTTCAACTGCGATAAGAAGACTGTGACTACTGCACACATCAGCATACCCACTAGCCAAGATGCAGCCACCAGCTGAAAACAGACCTTCCAGGTCATGAAGCCTGTGTAGAGCAGGGGGTGGCATATGGCCAAGTACCAACCGTAGGACATGGCTGCCAGCAGGTAACACTCAGTACCTGCAAAAGAGCCAAAGAAGTAGAACTGAGCTACACAGCTGTGAGCAGAGATTGTCTTGTCCCTGGTCAGGAAGCTGGTCAGCAGCCGGGGCAGAACGGTGGAGCTGTAGCAGGTCTCCAAGGAGGACAGATTGCCCAGGAAGAAGTACATGGGAGTGTGCAGATGCTGGTCTGTAACCACCAGCACGATGATCAGGATGTTTCCAATCACAGTTATGCAATAGATAATGAGTGATAGGAGGAAGAGCAGAGTCTGGAGTGTGGGCAAATTCCCCATTCCCAGCAGCAGGAACTCTATGGGTGATGTCTGATTGTCTTCCTCCCATTTTTCCATACCGCTTTGTTTATACTTCTTTCCCCACGTGCCAGGGAGGAGGCCTGTGACAAAACACAGTGATTTCTGCATGAAGTGGAAGAAGAGCTGTGATGGACGTTACTGTTTAAAAGACACAAGGAAACAAAAAAAACTCATCTACTTTGCCATTGTTTATATTCCTTTTTGGCCTCCCTCCACACTGAAAGAGACAGACCTGGGCTCTTCAAGAGGGCAAACCTGCTAGTCCCGAGAGCATTCCTTGTGACTTCAGGGTTAACTTGCCCCAGGTAGCTGCCTCTTCTTCATGCTGGAATGAAAACCTCATGTGCATTTGCTCCTATTTTGACATTCTGTTTTCCTGTGCTCTGGGGTTTTCCTGTCTGACTTGAAAAAACTGTTGAGGATAAAGATCATTTGCTGTCTGT